GAACTATGTTTATTGCTTAAATTTCCATATGGATTCATTCCATCTGTAGCAAGTCCAAACCTAATGTTTCTTGGATCATTACCAAAATTCTGGAAGATGGAATCAATTTTTTTCCATTGCAATCCATCTCATCGGATGCCTCAACTGACCATCTTTAATACGACTATCCGCATGCCATCTAGTCGAGCTTTGCATCATTTCCATTAGTGAATAATCGTTTCAACCTTGGAACAATGGGAAGATACCATAACACTTTTGCCTGGGTACCCTTCATTACATCATTGTCGGAATCACCATCCTTCTTCTTGTATCGTGATTCCCCGCATTGTGGACATTCGTGACAGTTCTCAAATTCTTTCCTGTACAACACACAATCATTCGGACATGCATGAATTTTTTGGTACTCCATACCCATTGGACACAATATCTTCTTAGCATCATAATTGCGGGTTGGCAATGTGTTACCTTCGGGGAGCATGTCACTCAACAACTCAAGCAATTCCGTGAAACTTTTATCGATCCACCCATTCTTTGCCTTCACATTGAACAATTTTAGTACCGCCGACAATCGTGTGAACTTAGTACAATTTGTATACAAAGGCTCTTTTGCATCATTGGACAACTTCTCGTACACATGTGTGTGTTGGAAGGCATCTTGTCCAAGCTCACGAATCATTTCCTCCAGCTGATCATCCATCTCTAGATCAACTTCTTCTTTGTCTTCTACACTTGGCATGTTTAATAATTCACCATGCCATGTCCACTTTATGTAACTCTTTAGGAAATCATCACAAAGAACATGTTCCCGAATAACTTCAGTCGGTAATCTTCGCTCATTCAAGCAGTTAACACAAGGGCAATAGAATCTTCCACTACAAGAAAAACACCAAATAGTGACCGAAATTAGTGACTGAAAAATTCAGTCACTGATAGTAACTGAATCAGTGACTGATTTTCCTTTTTATATTTAGTGACTGATTTAGTGACTAAAATTTCAGTCACAGATATCGGTCACTGATTCAGTCACCGAATTGGTCACTATGGTTAATAGTGACCGAAAGTGGTGACTGAATTTTTTTATATTTAGTAACTTGATTTAGTGACTAAATTTTCAGTCACTAAAAAAATAATTTTTAAATTGATAACTATTTTTCATTTATATAAATATTTTATTTAAAATATTTTAAATATAAATCTACTTAATAATTTAAAATAAGTGATAACATTGTTAATAACATTATAAAAATTTTAAAAAATAGTTTACTAACTTATTAAATAATTTAGTAATATAATTATTTAATTTTATTTTTTAATTTAGCATGTGAATAAAAAAATTAAAATTGATTATTAAATTAGTCACCGAATCGGTCATTGATTCGGTCACCGAATCGGTCACTTGAATCGGTCACTAAATCAATAATTAAATTAATTATTAATTTAGTCTCTTTTATATATATATATATATATATATATATTACTTGTATGTTAATAAAAATGTATTTCAATGTATTTATAAAAAATTAAAATTATTTTAATTACTGAATTGATATTTTAAATTTATATTAATATCTTGGATAATTTAATAGTTGGATATATATTTTAAGTTTATATTAGTCATTTTTATATAAAAGTGTAAAAATAAAGTGAACTTATTTTAAAATTTAATTAAACATAATAATATAATATAGTATTAACCATAAATATGTGAAGATTTAGTTAGAAATTAATTTTAAGTTTTATTGTTTTTATTTAAAAAAAATCGTTAAAAAAATTTAAAATAATTAATTAAAGTAAAGAATTTTAATTTAATAAATGTGTTAATATTATTAGAAGAATTAAATGTATATTAATAATTATATAAAATTATAGATATATTAAAATTTAAATTATTGGTAATTTTTTTAATTATTAAGCTAAAATTTGATAATATTAATAAATTAAAAATAATATATATATATATCACTTTAATTTTTTTTAATTAAAATTAATTTCATAAAAATAAGTTTTAATCGATTGAAACGAGATTTAATCGATTAATATCGGTTATTTTAACTGATAAAAATAAGTTTTAATCGATTAAAGCGCTTGTGTAGAAACTCTTTTAATCGATTGAAACAAGATTTAATCGATTAAAATAGATCTGATCGGTCATAAATGCATTCTGATCGATCATAATTGAAACGATATAATAGCGGTTCCAGTGTAACCGCTATCTAAAATATCTCTCGCTTGAGCGACACTCTTCTCGCTCGAGCGAAACGCCTCTGCACAAAATTGGCAATCTCGGGTTGTATTTCGCTTGAGCGACATTACTCTCGCTTGAGCGAAATACGATTCTGATCGATCATAACTTGAAATGATCGATCATAATATAGAGGATATAATAGCGGTTCCCTTATAACCGCTATCCGAAGTATCTAAAGTGTTTTGAGACTACTCTGCTGAAGCGAAATCTGATTCTGATCGAGTGTATTTTCAAAATGATCGATCATATTTGATAATTTTTTCAAATAATTAATTATAATCGATTAGTTTTCTAAATTATTGATTAGAATTGATTAGTTTTTCAAATAATAGATTAGAATTGATTAATTTCGAAATATATACTAAAAAATTATAATTAAAACTATAAATTAGTTAAGAATATTGACTATTGTAAAGATAAAGTAGAACATGGGAGGAGATGAGGATGATAATATAATGAAAGAACTTACAAAAATGTAGAATTGAGAAGTTTGAAACAAATAAAATTAAGAAAATAGATATTTAATTACACTTTTAATAAATTTAAGATAATACTAGTAGCTCGAGTGGTTGGAGTTTCGACCTCCAACTCTAAGGTACCGGGTTCGAATCCCGACAATGACATTAAACCACCTAATAATAAGTTAAACTTAAATAAGCAAAATATAATATAATTAAGAGATAGGGAAAAATAAATAATAGATATAATAAAAATGTAAATAAATAAAAATAATTAAATTTGTTATTGATTAACTTTTTCATTGATTTAGTGACCGATTCGATGACCGATTTGGTTATATATATTCGGTCACTGAATCAGTCACTAAAATCAGTGACCAAGGAAATAGTGACCGATTCCAGTTGGTCACTATTTCGGTCACTATTTTAATTAGTAACCGATTTTGCACATTTAGTGACCGAATTTTCGGTCACTATTTGGTGTTTTTCTTGTAGTGTTCCATCATTATCCGGAACATTCATCTTAGCAAATTCAAGGAATTGTTCTACTCCACTCTCATATTCATTTGTTGTTCGTCTATAATTGATCCAACTCCGATCCATTGTTACAAATCTAATTTTCAAAATCAAATTAGCTACAGAAACACAAAATAACTACACTATAATGCCTACACGAAATCCAACTCCACTCTCAAAATAACTACATTATAATACAAATCTAATGTTCAAAATCAAAATCACGAAAGAATGCCTACGAAACACATTCAAATGACTAAACTACTTACATTCACGAAAGAATGCCTACAACGAACACATTCAAAATCAAATTAGCTACGAAACACAAAATAACTACACTATAATGCCTACACGAAATCCAACTCCACTCTCAAAATAACTACATTATAATACAAATCTAATGTTCAAAATCAAAATCACGAAAGAATGCCTACGTAAACACATTCAAATGTAAACCTACATTGGCTAAAGCAAGCACGAAAACTTACCTCTTGAAGACCTACGAGAGGTGGCGGGTGGCGTGACGTGCGAAGCTGGGTGGGGAGAAACGTATCCCGGGCGACGGGCACCGGTAGCGACGAGGCGGCACGAAGCGTTGGCGGGTGGCGTGACGAGCAAATGTGGGTGCGGAGAAACGTATACAAGGGAACAGGGGAGCTCTGGTATGGGTGAACTGATGAAAGGAAATGGAGCGTAGGGAGAAACGTACAGGGGAGCTCTGCTATGGGGGGGAAGTGATGAAATGAAATGGAGCGCGGGAGGAGGGTAAAACAGAAGATACGATGTCGGTTGCTCTAACACCCGTCATGAAAGACACTTTCTACGTCGGTTAAAATTTACCCGACATAGAAAGTTTACTTTCTACGTCGGGTAAATGTTACCCGACATAGAAAGTTAACTTTCTATGTCGGGTAAATTTTAACCGACGTAGAAAGTGACCTTTCCACTTACTATGTCGGTTAAAACTTACCCGACATAGAAAGTTTATGATTTTATTACAAAATTGCCACCGCGCCACATACTATGACGGGTGGATTACGACCGTAATAAAAACCCGTCATAGAAAGCTATTTTTCCACTAGTGTATCATGTAATTTTGGGCCTTATTAATGAATTACTTCTTTTTGTTTTTTCTATTATCAGGTAGTACTCATTGATTTGTTTACTACAAATTTGGATTTTTTTTTTGTTTTCATTTACTTTGCATGAGTTTTTGGTTTGGACTCGGGAGGGATCATTCGTGGTTGAATGAAACGTCCTTGGCCGAGGTTAGCATGAGAATTGCTTATTCGGGAGAGATCGCTCGTTTCGAGTCAAAAAATTGATAGGATGATATTTTGAAGATAATTTGTATTAATGTCTCATTCAAACCCTCCCCGACAAACCCTCCTTAGGAAAAAAAATCCAAGGATAGGAAAAAGACTGCATGCGTACATAAGAAATTTCAACTAAAGTAAACTTAAGTAATTTGACGTTTCAAGTTCTAGACACTGACTCACCAAAAAGGTGTTCTAATCGGTACATAGTTAGGCAACGACACGCTTATGCGGAAAGGTCCTTTATAGTTTGTCGTGAACTTCCCTTATGACGAATCTCTGCGTGCGCTTCTTTTTACTTATATCACTAAGTCGCCTTCTTTGAACGATCTTGACCTCACTTTAGTCTTTTGTTTCCTTGTCTTTATTGCCTTGATGACCATGTCCCGCGTTTAAGCTCTAGCTCTTGTTTCCTTCACAAGATCTAGGGCTGCTCTTATTTGCTCTTCATTCTTTATCGTGTTTATGATTGTTATTCTCAAGGTTAGTTTGGCAACTTCAACGGGTATCATGACGTCAGTGTCGAAAATGAGATTATAGGGCGTCTCTTTGGTTGAGGACTAATGCGTACATTTGTATGCCCATAGTGTTTCCAATAACTCTTTGACCTAATTGCCTTTTGCATCGCCTAGTCTTTTCTTTAACACAGATAAAATTACCTTGTTGGCCGATTCGTTCTAGTCGTTGGTTTGCAAGTGTTCGACCAAGCTTGTTGTGTGTCGTATGTCGATTCCTTCATAGAATTCGTTGAGTCCCTTGTCGGTAAATTGTCGCCATTTATCCGTAATGATAGTGTGGGGTATGCGAAGAGTCCATTGTCGGTAAATTGCCACCAGGATGAACTTGCACTGCCCTCTTGCTGGCGGAAATGGATTGATAATGTCCATTCCCCATTTTGTAAAGGGTCACGGGAGAAGATATGGTGTAGTTTTTTGGGAGAGGTATGAGGTATGCTGTCGCGCTAACATTGATTGGATTTTTGGACATATTCGGCGTAGTCCTTTTGGAGTGTTAGCCAGAAATGTTATGCTCGCAGTACCCTTCTTGCCATGCTCCATTCGCTGATATGTAGCCTACATACTCCATGGTGTAACTATTTTAATATGTATTCAGCTTGTGTTAGGGATACACATTTCTACATAAGTGTTGGGAATCCTTTCTTATGCAATTTTGTTTCGATCAACATGTACTGGGTGGATAGTCTTCTAACTTTTTTGCACTTCAAGAGCGTTGTCAGGTAGTGTGTCTTCTCGTAAGTACGTCATTATCAGTGTCATCCAGGTGGTATCGTCAAACATTCATCTTTACTAACTGAAGAGGTCGTCAATGTCAGCTGAATGATCGTCTTGTGTGCCCCTTTCTTCTTCGTGCTAACAAGCTTAGATAAAATATTTGTGCGCATGTTGTCTTCCCAACGAATGTGTCTGACCTTGTTCTCTCGGAATTCGGCCAACAGGTTTAGGACATGATGGTAATATTGCACAAGCAAAGGGTCCTTTACTGAAAATTCGCCTGATAAATGACGACTGTGAGTTGGGAGTTGTTTTGAATTTCAATCGCGTTGCTCTCATTTCCTTTGCTAGCAATAATCCAACAATCAAAGCTTCGTACTCTGCCTGATTATTAGACGTTTTGAACTCAATGTGTAGAGATTGCTCAATTAGTATGCCATCGGGCCCTTCAAGGACTACTCTTACTCCCTTCCTTTTTTGTTTGAGGACCTATTTGTATACAATATCCACCATGGGTCTTCCTCTACCACTGTCGGTCTGAGTTCATTCACGAAGTCAGCTAGGCACTATTTTATGTTGAACTTAGACAACTCAATGGACCATGTAATCATCTTCCCAGCTAGTTCTAGCTTTTTTAGCACTTTGGCAATGGGGTAGTCAGTTCTCACCACAATGTGATGACTTTGAAAGTATTAATCGCCCTAACACACGCTACATCTCTTTCAAGTTTTGTGGGCTTCTCCTTTCGATCAATTCCTGACACTTGTCCGGGTTAACTTCAATTCCTCTATGCGTCAGCATGAACCCCAAAAACATTCCTCCCTCAACCCCGATAACACATTTCTCGGGGTTCAAGCACTTGTTGTATTTTTGCAAGGCTGTGAATACTTCAACTAGATCTTTTAGATGTGTCAGCATGTGTCTGATTTCACCACCATGTGGTCAATGTATACCTCCATTTTCTTTCCTACACACCCCTTGAAAATCTTATCCTTGAGTCGTTGGTATGTGGCGCCTTTGTTCTTTAGGCCGAAAGGCATCACCTCATAACAGTAGTTTATCGAGGAGGTCATGAAGGTTGTATGTTCTACATCGCGAGGGTGCATCTAAATTTGGTTGTATTTGGAGTACGCATCAAAGAAGGTGAGTATCTTGTGGTCTACAACATCGTCCACAAGTCGGTCGATATTGAGAAGGGGATATGCTTCTTTGGGACATACCTAATTCAAGTCTGTATAATCGGTGCACATGCGCCACTTTGTGTAACGTACTTCCCTTACAAAATCGACATCTAGGAGCTTATCAACTTCGTGCTCAGCTACCTTACCTCGTTCTTCACCCATTTTCCTTTTCTTTTGCACTATGGGTCGTGCTTTTTTTCATACCACAAGTTTGTTAGTGGAAAATCGAGAAAAGCAATCGAAAATGAAGGAAAGGAAAGAGAGAACACGTGACTGATAAATCAAGATAGATAAAAAACCATTCGATGTCTAAGCACGTAACACATATCATCGAGAAGTACAATCGAGAATCGAAGGAATGATAGTCAAATGCCTATTGTCGAATAAAAACCTAAGAAACTAGAATGATAAGACGTTAAGGTTGAAAAGGAATCATAAGCAATTCGAAGTTCTCGAAAGTGTAAAATCGAAAATGAAGAAAGCTAACCTACACGGACATCGAAAACTTTGGTCAAACCATAAAGAGAAGAGTAAGTCAAACGCACGGATAGAGAGCAGTTTCGAAACCATGGAGGAAATCGAAGATCGTGAGAACGTGGGAAACCGTAGAAGATAAACCGCCATATGCACGTAGAACGTGGTAGCAGTCGTGTTAACTACTCTTGGAAGACTTGAACGATGCACTATAAATAGAGCAAAGAAGGAAGAAATAGGGGGGCAGAAATTGGTAGAGAACAGAATCAGTAGTGAAAAGTCTACCGGAGAAACGACGAACACCATGAAGCTTCTGGCAATCTGGATTTCCTTATTCACTGAGTACATTTACCGCTTTCTGTATTTTCCTTGGTAATTTACTTTGATGCAGCTTTAAATTCACGAGCTTTATGTTTCGTGTTTTCGATTCCTTGTCATTTCAATTCAATGAAAGTTTAAATTTCTGCATTTAAGTTTCCCTGTCATTTACTTTTCTTGCAATCTCGATTTCTGTCATTTACTTTTCTTGCAATCTCGATTTCCGTCATTTATATTTGCACTCGTTTTCGATTTCTTTTCATTTACAATTAATGTAAATTTGGGGTTTTCGCACTTTACATTTCCTCGCAATTTAATATTCTATTTCTCGATTCGATATTTTTACTGTGTTCGGTATTTTAAATATAAAAAAAATAGCATTTTCGATATCCTGTAACTTTCGATTCTTATACACGTTTTCGATTGAAAGTCAAATTGCTAGCCTAAGTAAAAGGAACTTACGTGGGAGGATTTTGATTAGGACCAAAACACCTTTAGAATCGAAATCGATCGAAATTCCACCGAAAACAAATTGGCGCGCCGAGATAGGGGTTCTTGTGTTGAGAAACACAAAATTGGTTAGTTCGAGAGTGTATGAGATTAAGGAGTGGGAGAGTCATGAGTCGAGTTCATCAAGTAACCGGAGTAACACCGAGGGATTAAATGGGTCACACCCATCAAATACCGGGGGCAAAGTCATAATGGGAATACACTGTAGTATCGACAACCGTAAGTATGTCGATACCCGTGAGTAATGAACAAAATTCGGGCACTTTAGCAAATACCCAAGTAGGATCTAGTACGGTGGCACTAAACAAGTATGCCAACTATGGGAAACCCTATAACAACAAATGCTCGGGCCGTATATGAGTATAAGACCACCCGGGTTTTCGCTTAACATGAATGGGGTTGGTACTTCTTCGATGCAACGAAATTCGAGATATAACTTAGGAACATTCCAAACCCTAGGTATGCCACAGAATTTTGGAGCATCTCCAAACCTAGGAACATCTCAAAATTTAGTAATTCCCCGTAACTCGTGGAGTGTGCGTAATGTAGGAACGCAAGCAAATACCTCCAAATCTAGATCATAGAGGAAACTTAGATCATGGGAGATATGCGTTCGATAGGGATTATCATCGATCTAATTTTGATACTATCGAAAATACTGGTACTCGGAATATCTAGTAACTCCTTAGGAATACTTAGACAACAAATGGATGAGAGTAATTTTGAGATGGTGAATCCGTTATCACAACAAGTTGACTACAGTTCTAAATTCATTAGTTCAAAACACTACCGCTAGTTTTGAGATATTAGCAGACCAAATGTCACGAATCGGGATGCATTGGTCGTACCTCGACAAACGAGGGTAGAAAATCATGCTAATCAGAATACTAATATCAATCCCTCGTATCTATTGAGGAGAAATAGAAACAATGATCAACATCAAGCATATGGGAAATGAGTACCAACACGTGAGGAATGACATTTATGGGAATTTGAACGAAGGATTTCAAAATATACACAATCGAATAACATGTTAGGACAAAGGATGAATTTACAAGGGATGGAATTTAGACCACCCAATCAGACATATTTTGTGTCTCCCTTTCCGAATGCGATTCTCGAGACAGAATTGCCTCGAGGATATAAAGTACCCAAATTCACTAAATTTGCTGGAGAAGTTGGTGAATCGACTATCGAGCATGTGGCTCGATATCAGATCGAATGCGGGGATTTAGCGATGAGTGAAGAATTAAAGATGAAATATTTTCCTAGTTCTTTGACTAAGAATGCTTTTACTTGGTTCACTTCGTTACCGCCCAATTCGATATATAATTGGTTGCAGTTAGAGAGAAATTTTCATGAACAATTCTTTAGAGGAGAGACTCAAGTAAGTCTCATCGATTTGATGAACATAAAACGATACAACCATGAAAGTATAGATGATTATCTGAATCGATTTAGACAAATGAAGTCGAGATGTTTTACTCAAATTCCTGAATATGAATTAGTCAGGATGGTTTCTGCAGGTTTAGAATTCTCGATTAGGAAAAAATTAGTCAATCTACCACTGAATGACATGGCTCAATTAGCTGATAAAGTGAGAAGAGTGGAACAAATAGAGTATGAGAAACAAAGGTATAAGAAATATGAGAAACCCTCGAAAAAGGAAAGGATAGCATATATAAATGACGTATATGAGACGGATAACATGACAGAAAATGATATTGAAAAAACTGTCGATGAGAAAGTAAACATAGCAGAACTCAAAGTAGGGGCTCCATATATTTGCAAATTGCTACAAAAGAATGAAGTAAAAGATAAGATGGCAAATCGAACATATACTTTCGATGTGACAAAGGCTGATAAAATTTTCGATATCTTACTAAAAGATAAACAAATTAAGTTGAGCGAAAATCATAAATTGCCTTCGGCAGAACAAAGGAATGGTCGAAAGTATTGTAAATTTCATAATGTTTTTGGACATTGGACTAACAATTGTATACATTTCAGGAATACGATACAAGATGCGATTGACCAAGGGAGACTAAAATTTGAAGAGATGTCGATGAAAGTGGACACGAGTCCATTCGAAGTGCAAGTGGGATATATTGAATCCCAAACGGGCATGACTGATGATGTCCGAGTGACGAATGCTGCTTTTGTAGGCATGGTCAATGTTACTGAAGACATTGACCCTAAACATGTCAGAATGGATGTATCTGAAGAGGATATGGAATTTGACCTGAGTGAATTTGAAAAGGAGTTCGAAAAAGAGATTTACCCTCGGTCACGAGACTCCCTCATTGAGTTTTTGAATAGGAAGAAAGAAAAAGACGAAGATGTGTCGTTATGCCCAC